CGGGATGGAGGAGAATGAATACTGAGTGGGAGATGTCAGGAAATGGACTCTGAGATTCCAGGGCATGCTGGCAGGTCTTGAAGTGGGGAGAAAGAAAGGGCTTGATCTGCCAGATTCTAAAGTAAAAGAGGAATGGTTTGGGATATGGCTCAGTAGTAGAGTGCTTGCCAAGCATGTGTAAAATCCTGGACTCTGTCCCCAGCATCTCTAAAACAAAGAAAACACTGAAGGAGGAAGGATGGCTTACTGGAAGATTGCAGTAACAGAGTGATGGCAGGTAGACACAGCAGATGAAAGGGCACAATAGGCAGAGACCGGGGAGAGAACTAGTCTGCGTGTGGAAGCAAGAGCTTCCTGTCCTGGGTGGGGTACTATTTCTTGGAAGGGAAGACATCAGCTTGGTTCTTACTGAGGCATTTGCTGAGGGAGTCTCTGTAAAGAGCTGAGTGTTCACAGGTCAGCGTATTTCAGAGGGACGCATTTAGAGGGCACAGGGAAGACTTTATGGAAAGGAGAGAAAGGCACATGGAACAAGCATAAGGAAAGTAGGAGATGACTTGGGAGTCCAGCCAAGCAAACCATGATGGAAGGTGAAAGGTGGGGGTGAGCCAGAGACACAAGTGTGAGAGAAAAAGTCTTCCCACTTGGGCTAGGGTGCTGCTCAGCACTAGACTGGCTGCCTAGCATGAGGAAGGCTCTGTGGGTTCAATCCCCTGAACTTCAAGAAAACAAGTCATCCTAGTCACGAGAGGAGGGCGGGGTAGAGAAGGGAAGCTGGAAGACCTTAGCACTGGCCTGGCCTGACTGCTGCCAGGTGTCTACTGGGACTATTCTGGGACATCCAGACCATCCATCCCTAAGGCTTTGTGGGTCAAAGTTAAACATCAGCATGGTCTCCATGGCCATATGTTTTGGAATCCCACTTCGATCCACCCCATCAGCTCACACTGGGATTCAGAGCCCAGTGCCAGGATGGCCACCTGCCTTCACACCTCTCCACTACTGATATATTTGTCAGATCCAGCTCATACAGCCCTCTCAGAAATACACCTACAAGACCGTCAAGCATGCTTGCATTCCTGAGGAGCCTAGAGAGGGGGCTCACTGGGCTCAAGGAAACCCGAGAAGCATGTGGAGAAACAAACGTTGGGGCAGTTGTCTCTGAGGGTCCCCACAGCAGATCACAGGCGATGTGTTTGTTCATTTCCTCATGTTGCGCCACGAGCTGACTTCACAGCTGGGATTTATTTTCAGAGCACTTTGGAATTTGACAGACCCTCCTGCCTCCTGCTTCACAGCTGAAACCTTTTGCCATTTGGTTGATGATAAAGCAAGTGATGGTTTACACTAAAAGGGCCGTAAAAGATGCTGTCTGTGAATGAGACAGACAGGTGTCAAAACCAGAGTAGCAGACAGCACAGTCAGCAGAGCTCTGGATCTGCCCTGCAAGGTCACTGGCAACTCTCAAGTTCAGTGTCACCTCCAGGGGGAGCTGAAGTCCGTGTGCACACACCTTGCTTAGAGGTGCCCCTTAGCAGTGGCTGGTGTAAAAAGCATGCACCTTACAGAGCCGTGCTCCACATCTGCAGAGAAGGCTGCTATGTCCAAGAGTACCACAGGGTGAGGAGAGCCCAGTCCAGACTGATAGGCCCAGTCCAGACCATACTTGCCAAACCATCCTAAAACGATGTCAGAGAGCCAGCTCAGGAAAGCACAGCATGCCTCAGGAGTGTGGCCCGGGAGGTGGCTGCCTGTACTGCGCAGTTGTTCTCCTTCCTCCATTAGCACAGCAAGTCCAAATGGGGGAAGGTATTTCAATGTTCTTCTCTTTCTAGTGAGAGGGTCTCACTTAACTGATTCAAAGGAGGGGGCTCTCAGGCCTTGTTCTTATACCCTGTGTCCTTCATTAGCATTTGTCTGTTTGTAAGTCTGTTCTGTCAGGTTCTATTCCATTCTTTTCTATTTGGTTCCATTTGCTAGACCCACCCCATGAGATTAGATCAGTGCATTGTTGGTGCTGAGTGTCAGTTTGTGGTCACTGAGGTAAAAAGTGGCTGTCATGATGAAACTCAAGGAGTCAGTCAAGGAAAGGGGGCTGCTCAGTGACAAGAGAGCAGCCAGGAGCACACTGGGAGCCATGAATTGCACTGGGTAGCCGGCCCCAGACAGAGCCGAAGAAGGTTATGAGGTGAGCAGAGGCCAGACTGTATACTTTCATACTGGTATATGGGATGTTGATTTTTGGAGACCACTAGTGGGGAGCATGAGAGATGCTCAAGAAACAGTGTGACTGTTTAAGTCTACCATATTGACTGTAGCTCACTCCACTGTACTTCTCTCTCACTGAACCTGGGCTGGTGGCTATCAAGTCCCAGCAACCCCTGGGGTTACAAACATGCACCCATGCCTAGCCATTTTACATGGGTGCTGAGGACTGGGCTCGGGTTCTCATGCTTGCACAGTAAGTACTTGTTCCCACTGCCATCTCTCCAGTCCCTCATGCTCTTCAATGATAGAGGTGAAGACTATGGAGAAAGGGCAGCTTTGGAAGAATGACACATTTGTTTGCAGCTGTGAATGAAAAAACATGTCTATGATGCCTTGAAACAACTGGACACATTGAAGCTTCTAAGAGGGGTCTGGCTACATGGTACTTGTCAAGTATCTTCAAGGCTATGAGGAAGGTGGAGTTCTGCAGTGAGGGAAGAGATAGGACTGAGCTCTGACTCCAAAAAAGAAAACCAGAAACTTGGATGCAGACTAATTGGGTGAGGAATTACTAAAAATTAACTTTGGAGTCAAGAGAATTCTTGCTAGACTCACTCGCCAGAGTTTGTACTGAATACAGGCCACGGTGATAAGATATCAGGGGAGGTCAGATACTAAGAGTGGGCATTTTGCCCAATAGTGTAACTCAGTTCCCCACTACTATGAGAAAATACCTGGCATTGTTATTAAAGATAAGGTGTTGGTTTTGGCTCATGGCTTTGGGGGTTCCAGTCAGAGAATGGTGGCCTGAATCATGCTTTGGACCTCTGATGGAGTGCTAGATGGCATTGGTGAGGATGTGGTGCAGCCTGCCTAACTCACAAGATAGGTCATACAAGGAGCAAGAGCCCATGGTCACATAATCTTCAGAGGCACATCCCCAGTGACCTTAGGACCACTTTTTAAAGTTTTGTCATATTCTGGGGACCAAGTCTTTAAGACATGGACATTTGTGGTGACTCATGAAAACTTGTAACACCGACTTACCTTAAGGAGTCTTTCCAAAATTGTACTCTTTGTGCCAGAGGAGGAAGCCAAAAGCTGAGTCCAGCTTAACAGTGGACTCAGAGCGCCATCATGCAGATTTGGTTTAAAGGTAATATCTTTGACCTCTAGAGATAATGTCATCAGTATGTTGGAAGGTAATAGGGGGAAAAGGTGTCACCAAAGACCTCTCAAAAGAAATGGGAAAGAGAAGCCTCAAGGCCCAGCACTGAGAGGGTAAGAGCTGAAGGCAAGGAGCCACTCCTACAAATGAGGAGCTGGCTGAAGTCTTACTGTCCCAGAGCAAAAATATTGTCAGGATCATGTTGAAGAGTGGGACAAAGAAGAAAGGGGCCAGAGCATGTTTTATTTTGCAGTTGGCACAGAGATTTCCCTGTGGCCTGGACACGATAATGTCCATGGAGCTGTGGGAGGGAATGGCAAGTTGCAGGGTCCACCACTGGAAGAAGGCCAAGTAGTGGATCACAAGTGTTGATAGGACAGTCTGCCTGCAGATGAAGAGATGATAGGGCCTCTGGGTCACTGAAGGTTTCCATTTGCTCTCTTCTCTATAGCAAAAGAGTTGTGATGTTGTTTATATCCTGGAGGCTGTAGATAGCAGGGGTGGAAGATATTGGGAATGGCTGAGTAGGAAGGAATCAATAGAGAGAACAAAATCTCACTGGTCTCAGAGACAGACACAGAGATTCTAAAATACTTCTTCCTCTAAAATAATAGTAAAATGGCTGAGTGAAGCCCTGGAGGTAGAAGATAGGCTGAGCACACAGTAGGGAGGGAGAACTTAGGCAATGTCTAGCTCCCTGGCTCAGGTTACATTTTCTGATGACACTCATGCTGGTGTGGAGAGCCTGTTTGGGAAGCAGCTGGTGAAGCTGCCTTGTAGCTGCACAGTTAACTGCCAGAGATGGAGCTCTGCCAGGTAGAGGACTTAGAGTGGCTGCTCAAAGGACGAGAAGACATTGGGTCACTGGCATCCAGAGGCGACCTATAAGACTTACACATGAATAGAAGTGCACAAAGGATTTATATAGAGAATGACAAGAAAAGATAAACAAGATAGAGCCACTGTGAGTGGGAAAGGACTCACAGCAAAAAAGCAGAGGGTGCCAGAAAGACGTGACAAGCATAGGTTTTGGGGGAGGGGTGCTGTTTGTTTTTTAAGACAGAATCTCCCTATGTATTACTAAGTTGCCTGAAACTCACTATATAGACCAGGCTGGCCTTAACACTCCAAGATCCACCTACTTCTGCCTTCTGAACATTGGCGTTAAAGGTGAGTGCCACCATGTCTGGCTTGGCAGTGTGCTTTGTTTTTTTGTTTTGTTTTGTTTTTTGTTTGAGATCCATGTATAGTTTGCAAATGTCAGCAAAGCAGCCAGATCAAATACAGGAAAGATATGTTTTTGGATTCAGCAATGGGGAAATTGTTGGTGACCTTGGCAGAAGCTGTTTTCATGGGCTGGGGGAGGAGGTGGCCAAACTAGAGTGACTTGAGGCACAGACATCCAACCATAGAGCTGACAAGTAGAGATTACACTGAGAAAAACAAGGTCTTGTGAACCGTTTGGATTCCATTTCTCTGTGAGTTTCTGCCAAAGAACACTGGGGATGCCAAGAAATTAGCCTGGCTTGTCCTGGCATGGCAGAGATTTGGAGCACTCTGCCCCTTCCTCCCCAGCCCTAATCTCAGGCAGAGGCTCACACTACTGTGCTTCTCTCTCCTTCAGGCCGCATCCTGGACCTGAAGACTGGGACAGTGAAGAAGGAGGGACAGCAGTCGTCCATGCGCATGTGTATGGGCTCTCGGCGCTCCTTCATCTGTAGGATGAGGTTTGTGGGTTAGCAGAGGCCCAGGCCAGGGGGCTTCACTTGACCTTGTGCTCTTGACTTCAGACTAGATCCTGTATGAGAACACTCCCCTTCTGCCTCCTTCCCTTTTAGTGACTCACCATCTCCCACCCATTCCGTTTCACACCTTTGTGTGGTGTATTATCCTTTTCTCTCTTTTTTGTTCCTTAGAGTTTTGTTTTTTAATGTAGCCCTAACTGTCCTGGAACTTGCTATGTACATGACGCTGGCCTTGAACTCACAAAGATCCTCTTGCCTCTGCTCTCGGGTGCTGAGATTAAGTGTACACTACCACACCAACACATTTTATTCTTTGGGGGGGGAGGGTGCTAGGGATTGGACCCAGAACTGTGGCTCCCAGGCAAGTGTCTGCCCCTGAGCTATTCTTCAGCCCTTGACTTTTGGGGACAAGGCTTCTCAGTGCAGTGCAGGCTGGCATGGGATTCCTGATCCTCCCTCTCCCATCTCCTTGGTGCTGTGCATTGCAATATCCCTCCCCATCTGCACGTCTTGACTTTTCTTCTGACTGTCCTTCAAGGCCTCTCACATGCCTTGCCTCTCCAGAGTCTGTACTATGGTTTGTATTGAAACCACCAATCCCATGCTTAATCTTTTGTTTTCTGTAACAACTCATACCTTTTTAACTGGCCCTCAACATAATTGATTAGATTTTTTAAACTTTTTTTTTATTTTGGTTTTTTTTTTTTTTGAGGCAGGGTCTCATTTGTCCCAGGCTGGCATCGAACTTATATACCCGCAGGTGACTTTGAAGTTATGATCTTCCTGCATCCACTTCCTAAGTGCTGAGATGACAAATGTGGTCTGTCATGTCTAGTTTATAGAAGTTCAAATCCAGAACTTCCTTTATGCTTGGCAAGCATGTTACTGCCTAGCTGAGCCACATTCTGCATCCTGTTGCTTTGTATTTAAAATGCCAATGGCTTGGCTTTGTAATTCAGTTACGTCATTCTAAGGATGAAGACTGTGATATAAACGTCTTTAACTTCTTTTTCTCTTCCTTTTTTTTTTAATTTTTTGAGATGACCTCTTATATAGCCCAGTCTAACCTCCAACTCTTGATCCCCTTGTTTCAGCCTCCTGAGGGCTGGGATTACAAGCTTGAGTCACATTGCCCAGATGATTTGTGACTCTTTGTAGCTCACCCCAACTTTCAGTCGAATGTTTTGTATATAGTTATTACTTGGATTCATGGAAGATTGGGTCCAGGACTCCTCACCACCAGCAAATCTGAAAGAGAATGGGGCAGAGAGACAAGGAGGGAGGGAAAGAGATTGTTCTGGTTCTTTGAGAAGAAAACAAAGGTCATTGCAGCTTTTTGTACTATTGAGGTGACAGTAGGAATGGAGATATATAATCAAGTTGCAGATATATATATATTGTGACATGCAGCCAGTCACGTGTAGGGTATAAAATGATGAGAGAGGTCTGGGACTCTTTATGCTTGCCAAGCATAAAGGAAGTTCTGGATTTGAACTTCTATAAACTAGACATGACAGACCACATTTGTCATCTCAGCACTTAGGAAGTGGATGCAGGAAGATCATAACTTCAAAGTCACCTGCAGGTATATAAGTTCGATGCCAACCTGGGACAAATGAGACCCTGCCTCAAAAACAAAACAAACCAAAACAAAACAAAAGAGTATGGGACTGTACAATGTCTGTTCCCTTGGAGAAGTGGGTATCATTGCTAAGATCAGAAAGATAGCTGGAAGCTTCTTTAGAGTGAAGGGGAATGGTCATTCTTTCTGGCTAAGGTGCCAACAAGATAACCAAATGCAAAGATAAGGAGCCAGTTGGCTGTGTAGCTCTGAAACTCAGAGGAGAGGCTAGGGCTGAAGATGGACTCAGGGATGGACATCAGGGTGGCAACTGAGCTGACAGGACAATCATTTTAAGTGATAGGACATCAGAAGACAGCACATGGGGCCCTGCTCCACCAATGGCAGAAAGCTGAGGTGAGCATCCAGGCAGGTGAGAGAGAGAGCCAGAGAGGGCTAAGGAAGAATTTGAAATGTCACTGCTGAATCCCAGATGCAAGATCTGAGACTTCAAGGATGCTGCTCAGAGGGAGAAGTGGAAGAGGCTGGAGCTACAGGCGGGTGAGCAAGGCAGACTCAGTCTCCTCTCTCCAGCCTGCCCTGGCATGTGTTCTCCCCTGGGCTGTCTTCAAACACCGCTGCTAACCAGTGTGGATTTCTACGTCCATCTTGGTTCAGCAGCATTGCCTGTACAATCAACCTTTCCTCCTCCCCTCAAGCTGTGTGGTTCCACTGAGCTGCCCATGCCAGACCGATACAGCAGAGCCACTGGCTACTGTCGCTCTTTCTCAGTTGTCTGCTGCCTGAAGTGACTTAGCATTGTACATCTTGTGGATACTATAAAGAGAAAATGCCTCAAAATTGATCCAAAATTATCTTTTAGAGTAGAATATATTTTTTAAAAAAATCTCTACATCTTGAGTGGAGTGATAACTGTGTTACAAAAAGAGGTCTAGCAAGGTAGTGTGTGCATATGTAATCCCTGTGATAGGAAGATGGAGACAGGCAGATTTGTGGGGCTGGCTATCTACTGGGCAAATCCTAGGTGAGAGACTATGTTTCTAAAAACAGGTGAATGGCACTTGAGGAAGAATAGATTTTCTACTTGCCTTCACACAGACATGTGTATATCTGAACAGATGTGCCTATATACTTGCATACACACAGACAGATATGTAGACATGCACACACAAACAGACAGACAGACAGAGACACACACACACACACACACACACACAGAGAGAGAGAGAGAGAGAGAGAGAGAGAGAGAGAGAGAGAGAGAGAACACCATATGAGTCATATCTCCAACAATATGTACTGAAGATTGACCTATCTTCCTCATCCTAGGCGGGTCTGCAGAGCGCTCATTTACGAAACATCACTTTAGGGGTCTGGTGAGAGAGCTGTTAGTTTCCCCTGCCTCTGCTCCTCTCCAGGCTGACTGCTGGAGCACTACCAGAAAGCCCTGATGAAACTCCTTCACCTGCCTCAGGTGACAAGATGGCACTGGAATGACAATGCATAAGTGGTCTCTGAGTTAGGATGAAGTCTCACTGGCTGCCTGCTTTGTTGCGGGTGAGCTGGACAGATGTAGGACTCACGGGCACAGCATCCAGCCTGAAACAGCACATTATCTGCTAGTCAGTCACAGAAGGGTCCTCCCATCCTAGCTTGGGGGAGTTAGTGATACAAGCCCAAGTGATATGAATTCTTAATTACCCCCTCCAGCCAATCCCATGAGTTAATTGATTAGAGACATCATGCATAACACACCATTTCAGTTAGCAGCTTATAGTGCCACTGTCATCTCCCAGATCACTTCATCTCTCCGAGCCCAGGTATACCTCCAGAGAATGTACTCATAGTTACTTACTGGCATATGAGCCCCATGATACCAGGGCTGGCTTGAGAGGTATACAGCACTTTGTTCTGCTTGGAACATGACATCGTCAACAAAACAACATTATTTCCTCGGGACACTGGGCATGGTCTGCCAGAAGGGGGCAGGGGGCCCTGTTGACATCCCTGAGTGGCAATGTCACAGATCGATCCTGCTGTGAAAACCACTCCAATGTTGGCAGCTTTCCAAGGTCTCAAAACATAATTGGCTTTTTTTTTTTTGGCATGTTGCAAATGAAGACATCCAGGCTGGCACTTGTCATGTAGTTGAGATAGGGAAATGCACTTAGCAAATGGGCATGCCAAGTGGTGTCCGGAGCCTGGAGGCTTGATCCCTGGGATTCTTAGAGAGTCGATGAGAAGTAGTCAGAGAGGTCCTATCATTGTGGAGAGTGCTTCAACCTCTGGACCCCAGAGAGTGGCTCCCCAGGACCTGATGCTATGCCTAGGGTCCCTTTGCTCAATTCTCTCTTTTGCCATCAGCAGGCTTCCAGCTGTGTAGCTTGTTCCTAGAGCCAGTGTAATGAGGGAGGGGTATCCACAGTGTGATCATCGAGCCTGGGGTGGTGCTACTGTTCATCAGCAACATCTGCTTTGAGTTAGTGTCTCTGCTCAGCCCTGAAGAGACACTGCAGCCGTCATCACCCTCCTCCTTTCTACAAAGCCACTGGTTCCACTGAAATGATCTGTGGGACCAAGGATGGCTAGGCTTCTTTAGTGTTTCTGTAAGCCTCTAGTACTAAGATGGGCTGTGAAATGTTTCTGATGTATGTGAAAAACTAGCCAAACTCTCCTTCTAATGGCAACTACAAGACAAGAGTTGGCCAGCCCACTCTTGCCCTTTGGAAGGATAATAGCCATGGGACTTTACTGGGTAAACTATCTACTTGATAGCAAGGTTACATGGGGGAATAGAAAATGAGGGTAGGCAGTGAATTCTATAAGTGCTGGTCCTGGGTAGATTCGTAGCACTTTGCACTTAGCAGTAGCATGTGGTGGCAGGCAGGAGCAGCTTTGGGAGGCATCCTTTAGTGTAAAGGCTCTTGTGGAGACAGACCTTGGGTGAAAAGGATCCTTAGCCCTGCAAGTGTTAAAGCTCGTGTGCTGTGCTGATGTAGATTTCTCAGCTCTTGACTACAGCTGGCGGTACAGTTTCCAGGCAACCTAGATATCACATTCTTCAGCCTTTGATAACAGCTTCCAGGCCTGAGGTGCTAAGATTCTTGACCCTAAAGGCTTGACACGTGTATAATTCTTCCAACAACTAGGCCTACAGTTTCCCATCTCTGACTCTGTAGGCCTCTAGCCTGCTGCTGTCAAGTAGCTAGCCACCCTGTCACTTATGCAGTTCAGCCTGCCGGTGGCTTAACTGTTGTTGGCACTGCCACTCTACTGCCTCTGCCTTCACTGATGCTCTCCTGTCTCTGCCACTTTTTTGTGTGTTACTAGCTTGGGCTATAATAATAAAAAGTAATTAAGAAAATTAATTTTTTTACTCCAGAAAAGCCTTTAACTGGGCTTAATATTTAGCAAGAGAGGCAGCATAGGAGACTATCTCACAACCAGCTCACAAAGTGAGCTAAAGAGTCTACTTATATAACCAAAGGGTGTTGTATCAATTTTAGCAAACGTTGCAAGCAAATACTAGCTAGTGTTTGCCCCTGTCACAAGCTTATCCCTTTGCTAGACAACCAGAAGTGTTCCCCTTCTGGATTATGTAGAAATTGTAGTAGGGTCATCTAGAGTTCACCAAGGCTTTTAACAGTTGAAAATTCCAGTAAGAATCGTTTCTAATAACTGACTAGGAGTACACCATCAAGAGTAGTTTTTACAAGGTGTCAATGAAGTGTTCAGAGCAGCCAGTGCTCACATAAGAGTGGCTGTTTGACTAATACTCACTGTGCTCAAGATAGTCACAGATGCAAGTCCAGTGACCTTGAATGAAAAAGTTTAATTCCACCCCCTCCATTCCTCAACATGTTTATTTGTAATACAGTGAACATCAGAAGAAATGTTTGCTAATTAAAGAACTCCTCATTTCTGTTGAGGATACGGCTCAGTCAGTCAAGTGCTTGTCCTATAAGCCAAGACCTGAGTTTGATCCCCAGAGTCCATGTGAAAAGACTGAATGTCGTGGCACGCTTTAGTAATTCTAGCATCAGAGATGCAAAATTATTAGGAGGATCCCTGGGCCTCAGCCACCAGCCAGCCAGTCTCACTTGGTAAGCTGCAGGCCAGTGAGAGATGGTATCCCAAAAGAAGAGATGGAATGCACCTGAGGTCATCCTCTGGCCTCCACACAAACAAACATACACATGTACCTGCACCCTCACGCACATATGTGCATGTTCATACACTTGAACACACGTTCAAAGAACATACACTAATAGTGGTTTGAACCCTTGCTTTGGGGAGAGGTGCGTTCCCCTTGTAGTCTCAGCAGCACCTTACATTTCAGATATTTACTGCATTCGCTGGTTCTCATACATGTGTTGACTCTTAGGTGTGGAAATGCTCCCTTGGACCATCTGCCTTTAAACAGAATAACCACCATGAGGAAAAGGTTCAGGTGGGCATCTCTCTCTATGATGTACTTGGGGGCTATGCTACTAGTTGGCCTATTGGCCCCAGGGTGGGGAATAGTTCAGCTTGAAGAGGGCCTAAGAGTGGAGGACCAGGAGAGTGCATGTCAGGATGGCAATACCCAGGGTGAGAACTGGGAGTTGGGTGAAATTTATGTGTGACTTTCAGGCCCTATTGATGGATAGGAGTCAGGATGATGGGAAATCAACATTTAAAGCCACTAAGGAAACAAAGGAACAGGTAGCTTAGATACCAAAGAGGTCGTCAGCATCTTGCCACGTTTCCATATAGTGAAGACAGCTTCATGTAATCTCTTTTTCAGGAATGGCCTTGGCCCTGTGAAAGAAGGAGAAGCTCAGTATGCCGTGGTCCACTGCACAGGTTACATCAAGGCTTGGCCACCAGCAGGTAAGCAGAGCTGCTGATGTTTTTCCAAGAAGGCAGATGCCTTCACCTCTGAAGTTAATACTGGGTTAAGAGCACTTTTGGAGAAAAATGTGGGAAAGTGTTGTCATTTTTCTTTGTGGTTAGAATGTCATTTTTGATACCAGAGGAAGCCCCACTATCTGAAACAGGCTTCCAAAAACCTTGATTCTTCAAGGGTGAGTGGAGCCTTTGCATCATCAACCTCAGAAATGATAGTGTGGAGATTTGAAATGATAGTTGCACCCGTGTCGCCACAGATGTGCACATCAAAATCACATTGAGATAACAGATAACAAGCATTGGCAGGAAAAGGAGAATTGAAACCATCATATCTTGCTGATGGGATCATGAAATAGCATAGCCTCTTGGAAAAACGTTCTCAAAATGTTAAGCATGCAGTGACTCTATGACTTCACAGTTTGACTCCTGGATATCAATCCAAAAGAATTGAAGACCTAGATCTACAAATAAATTTGAATATAAACATTTATACATAACGGACAAAGAATTAAATCAACCCAAATATACAGTAAGTGATGGATAGATGAATCAAATGTCATGTATCCATACAGGGAAGAGTAAAGCACCAAAGTATAGCTATGTGACATAGTAAGCCCTCAAAGCGAAGAACACAAAGCCTATGGCCATAGTACAGTTAAAGAATATATAGCAATGGCCAGACTAGTGCTTGGAAGAAATAAAAATAGTTTAGAGTATGCTGGTCATTGGCAGGCAAATGAAAATAAGGAACTGAAAGATAAAGTGCTTTGAGTTTCATATTGTGGCTTTGTCTCTGCTGGGCCGTAAGCTGTGGATTAGGCTCAGTATGAATTGCATTTTTGCTTTGGAGGGTACTATACAAGACCCCTCCCTGAGGGATTCACAATGATCCTTCCTTCACTACCTGCTTTATAACTAGAGTGACACTCTGCTGCTCATTCCCACCTCTGACACGGCATGCTGATTTTCATCCGTACTGTCAGAAGTCTAAAGAATAAAGTCTCTATGTCCACAAATACCATTAGCACCTTATTGCAGTCCTGAACCTCTTTACATAATCATAACAGTAATGACTGTTGAGTGTTTACCATGTCCGACATAATTACAACAATCATAAGAGTGATGTGGAATATCCAGAGTCTGAACACCTGCAATTCAAAACTCAGCAATCTAAATACTCCACACAGATATTTTGTGTATATATACACAGAGATAGATAGATGATAGATAGATAGATAGATAGATAGATAGATAGATAGATAGATAGGCAGGCAGACAGACAGACAGACAGACAGACAGACAGGCAGACATGGACACAGCTTGTCAGTACAATGTATATAAATGCCCTTAAAGGGTTTTTTTTTCCCCTACTTAAAACATTATCTTGGTCTTTGTTGGATTCATATCACAAAATTTTACAGACTGGGTAATTTACAATGAAAATAAATGTTTTTCTTACAGTTATAAGGATGGTGACTTCAGGGCTAAGGGGCTGCATTTGAAAAGGGTCTTCTTGGTGTGTGTCATATTGTGGCAAAGGGTGTCATGTGGGGAGAGAACTGGCACCTGACACCCTAGAGTTTCGATGTCTCTCTCTTTATTTACTTTTTGAGACAGGGTCTCATTATACATTTCCACTGGCCTGGAACTCACAACATAGACCAGGCTGGTCTTAAAATCACAGAGATCCACTTGCTTCTGCCTCCCATATGCCTGGATTAAAGGAGTGTGCCAATACACATATCTCCTTTCTCTTAGGAAGCCACTAACATCACCATTAGGTCTCCATAGGATCTGATTTAACACTCATTTCCTTCAAATAGTTCCATCTACAAATGCCATCAACATTTGGGGTTTCAAGTTTCTAATGTGTGAACTTTTGACCACAGTTTTTTCTTGCTTTCTTTTTTTGTGTTAATGTGTATGGCTGTTTTGCTTACATGAATATATATGTACACAGTGTATATGTTGTACCTGCATAGGTCAGATGGAAGTGGAGTTATAGGTGGTGTGAACCACCATGTTGTTAATCCAGTGCAGGTCCTCTGAATGTTTATCCAATGTTCTTAACCACTGAACCATCTCTACACACACACACACACACACAGAGAGAGAGAGAGAGAGAGAGAGAGAGAGAGAGAGAGAGAGAGAGAGAGAGAGAGAGAGAGAGAGACTTCTTTAAACCATAGGAAGTATAATGTACAAACTACCAGAATGTTGTTTACCAAAGGCCTGAACCAGCCTCAAGGACAGAGATTCAGAAGGCCATCCAGCTCTCAACTTAGGAGATTCACAGATAGTTCTAACAGTGCTAAAGAACCAGTCAGAAGCAGTTCAGTGATAGCATGGGGCTTTTTGTAAATGGCAAGGCTGTTCCTTTCTGTAGTTCATGGGAACATCAGACAGTGCTTGAGAAAGTAGGTTTGTAATAGGAGATTGTTCAATCAGACAAAAATAAGAACAAAAGATTTGGATGAGGACTGGTAGCAGTCTCTCCATTATCCAGTGTGTATGTATGGTATTGGTCTATGTATGGCGATTGTTTGAGCAATCATCTCAGGGCTACAAGCCCTAGGCCTATCTTTCTAGAAGTGTTCAAATAAATACCTCATGTGTAGAGGTGATCATAGGGAAGGGTGATCAGGCAGTCGTCTTTGGAGACAGAAGAGTCCCTATGCCAGCTGAGGTTAGGAAAGTTGCCCTGAAGAATTCCCAGACTGCATCAGTACTCCAAAACCATCTTCTTGAGATCTATGCCAAGTGGATGCCTTGATTCCTATTGAATCTTCACTTAAGTTACTTAATCATTCTTACTATACTGGGTAAATTCCTCTTCTGCTTCCAGACTCAATATTATGCTCTTCTGCCCCTTTATTGGGCTTCAGACCCACGATGTCACATGAGTATGGTAAAACTCACCAGGCCCCTGTGGGGAGGGAGAAAAGAGGCTGTGGCCCAAGAGGCAGGCAGTGGCTGCACCCAGAGGATGAGTTCCCCTGGAGCGGCATGTGTCTCAAGACTGTTGGTGTTAGCTTACCTGAGGCAGTAGGACTTATTGTTCACCTTAAATACTGGTCTTTGAAACTACCACATGAGGAATGGTTGAAGGAGCCAGAGTGTTTCACTTAGAGAAAATGAGACATGATTTCTGTCTGCAAGTATTTGAGGGGGTGTCATATGTAGGAGGAATTAATCTCAGGGTAGTTCCAGAAGGCACGACTTGGAGCAAAAGAGGAAAGTTAAAAAAGAGTGAAGTGAGTCAGGGGCATGAAAGGACATTGAAGATACAACAGACACATTAAGCTATGAAAAAAAGCCAGTTTTCATGGTTAACCAGAACTGCACATTAAAAACAATTTCATATCATTCTCTCTTACATTCTAATGGACCAAAGATCGAAAAAGCAAATGAGAAGTAAAGAAAATATACTTTTTACACTGCTGATAGGGATGTAAACTAGTCCAAAGCTTAAGTAGACTGACTGAGCAGTGTGTATCAAACATTTGACAAGGTGTGACTTACGACACAGCACTCAGACTGGTGGAAATTTATTCTAACAAAATGACTAGAGATGTCTGTATACTGTATTCTTAATCACCTTTAACAGCTGTGAAAGATTCATGTGAATCTGAATGCCCCTGGTAGAGAACTGACTAAAATATATGTGGAAACTCTGTATACCAGCACACTGGGCAGACCATACGTGCTATTCAAGGATTTTGAGAACAAAATAAAGTGTAAACAATTGTTTTTAAATGGCTACAAGATAGATACATCCCATTTCTAAAATCATAAATGAATAAAGCATGAATGTATGTTAAACTGGAATATTAACCACTTATTTCTGTCTACAGATTGTTGGAACATTTTTCTTTTCTGTTCACGTCCACATTTTCCCTATATTTTACCTGATTTTAATAATAAGAGAAAATGATGTTTTGAGACATCAATCTGAACCTTCAAAGATGGTATTCTAAATGAACGGATCATATGGTTTTCAGAGAACTTGGAAGTACATCATTATCTGTCTTTTGAGTCTGTTCTTGTACTGGGTGTTTCTGTGAAGACAGGGGTGCTGGACAAGAAAGCCATCTTCCTGTATCATGACTCATGTATGCATGCAGGGGACTTAGTTGTCCCTGCTGCTTTGTTCTGTGGCTGCCGGGACTGTTTATTAATAACTGCATTCTTAGCACATATAACTCTAATTCTGGCTCACTGTTCACATCCTGCAAGACCCCAGGGCAGATGCCGTGTTCATCTCACACCCATTTATCGTTCAGACTTAGCAAACATTGTATTTATGAAGGCTGGATGAGTGGGTGCATGGATGGATGGGATGGGTGAGTGAAAGGGTGATGGAAAAAGAAAGGCTCTTGAAACGAGAAATGGTGACTCTAGAGGGGTGTCTGTGTGAAGCCAGTTCTTGCTAGAGTTTCTAAGTTTAGCAAAGTCAGTTTTGTGGAACTCTTTTGAGACGGATAGTGACAGAGACAGTTGTGTGGCTTGGGTGAGTGGCTAAACTGAAGTCATGACTCTTACCCCCTCCTAAGGTCATAGAATTGTGGTACTGGAGTAACAAACAGCTCACTGTAAGGACTATCAGATGCCTTATAAAGTTACAGTGCTGGCCCTGCTTCCTCACATGCTCTGTAATTATAAACAATGACTAAGTTACAGAAATGAAGATTTATGGCAGCTAACTAAAGTCACTATAAATGTGAAAAGCCAACTTCAAAAAAAAAAAAAAAAAAAGGTTAGCACCCAAGGTGGACTTTGCAATGCAAACCAGAGCTTTATGGACAGATTCCTTAACAATGACTTGTAACATGTGCACTTACACTGAATCTTTTTCTTCCCACCTGTCTATGGTATACAAACCACAAAGTAGAACCTGGTGTGTTCCAGAAGCCCTTTCTGTAACATAGTAACCTTCCTAATTAGCCTGACAACATTTTACACTATACCAGTTTAGTATTTGG